TTACAAACCTGCGGAACTCAGCATAGCAAGAGCCCCCCAGGAGCTGCTGCTTTCCTGACTCTGAGTTGAGCTCATGGAGAGGTCACAGGACTCTACCCAACAGATGTCACACCAGCAATCTTCCCTCTTGTAAATGCAGATGCAGAGCTATTGAGGATACATTAAAACTCTCCTTACACTGCTTCTGCCTTGTTATTTCCTAGCTCAGGGTTTCAGAAACCATACAAACATGCTCTGAATTAGCATTTTAAACACATCTCTCTTGCTGAATTGCCACTAGACTACAAACAGCAAAGACTTTTTTCCATCTCTGTCCCAATTAAAGGGAAGTATTCCATCCTTGATCAGGTTAGCCAGTAATGGATTACACCACAGTTGCATTTTGCTCTGAACATGAAGAGCATGGCAAGATTGCACTGATCATTAGAAACAGCAGTGCACAAGCCTGGTCTTTGACCAGGTTTGACAACTCAGACCTGTGTTACACCATCCAGGATAAGCATACTATTGCTCCTGGGAGAAGGTCTGTTTTCTCAGTTTTCTGCTAAATTCTAACCGGTAACTTTGATTTCACATGCTCGCAACCCAACCCAGTCACTGGAAGTCACCATACTCTGAATTTTCAGTTTTAACTCTTAAGACACGAAATCAGGTTTGCATTGTTCAACCCTGGAATTTCATACATCTCTAAACTAAAACCACATGGGAGGTAGCACGCATGTTTTATCCACAAGCCATATTGCTCAGCAGTAATTCAAAAACATCAAGCAGAGAAACTCTTTATTCGGAAACTGTCCAGTCTCTTAAGGAAACAAGGTTAGTCCCAGCCAGAAAGTTACCCTGTCTTTATGGTAATGAAAGCAAGCTGCAGTACGGTTTTATGATGTTAAGCAGTTTTTATACGTACCCATATGTCTGCTTTCGTAGTAATAAGTTTGCCACTATACAGGTTGACCATTTCTGGTGCTCTATAGGATAACGTAGTGTATCTGTAGCAGAAAGATGTACCAGTGAGTTTGAAATGGGTATCAGATCCATTTTCACTATGTCACATTTCCGAATAATTAAAAGTTTACTCTCTATTCATTTTAGGGAAAGGGATAAAGAAGATAATCTATTGAAAAAATCTTTTAACAACAGTATCTGCTATATACATCTAACAATAAAATATTAACCACTGCAAACTGCCCTGTGAAATCAAACCAGTAACCAAGATCTTTTCTATGGCAAGCAATTTACTCATAGAATTATACAGCCATTTTAAGAACCAGAACAGAAATATTCAAGGATTCAGAGTATTAACAAGGTCAGTAGTCAAACGTCCTCTGCAATGTCCTCACTGCTGGGGCTTTGGCCAACTGATTTACAAAGATTGTAACCGGATATGGGGCTCCTAATACATAGACTTCCATACCAGGACTTCTGCTCAGAGCCATCGTAAACAACGGAAAGGTTATTTTGTTTATAATAAAGGTTATTTATATCTCAAGCTATAGCTAGAATCTGCCTCATTTTAACAAATCACTACAAATACAAAAGCTGGAAACTGCACCACACTAAGAGACTCTTATGATAAGATTTCCTATCAGTAGGTCTATAATTTCTGCTGTGGCACCTTGCATGCTATTTACCTTGATCACAGGAAAGCACTGCTAAAGGAAAAGTTTTTGTAAGCTGGTTAATAAGTGTACAAATAGGGCATTCCAAAGGGACTGCAAAGCCAGACTGGGAGCACTCTAAGAACTTCAGTCAAACAAGTCTAGAAAACCCATGTAGGTGTAATTGAATCCGAACAAAAAGGAGGCATTTCCACATATTTCTAACAGGCTGTTTCCTAGCCAGAACATTGTATTAACAGAACTAGAAAGTTTGCAGCAGTGATGTTGTTAAAACTAAAGCAATACCAAGGACCTGGAGCCTGCTTCATTCCTGATCTAGGTCCTACTGAACTGCCAGCTAAGTTCCTTTTTTAAAAATCATCAAAGTGCACCTAGTTATGTTGCTACCACTACAGCTGGTCGTGCGTGGGGCAAGAGGAGACAGATTAAACACCTCAAGGACCTCACATTTTCTACGAAGAGCCGAGGAGTCAGGCCGTGAGTTCCCTTAGTCACTGCAAGGATTTATGACAAGTGGCTGATGGAGGACAGGGATTTTTGTCATCTGCTGTACTGCAGTTCAAAGAAGCCAAGACAGATGAAAGACAGAGATAGACTGACCCCATACATAACAGTACATGTCACTACCTCATCAAGGTGGGCAACTTCTCTGCATTAGTACACTCAGTCTTTCAGGTCCAAACCAATTACACCAAGCTCAGTTTGTTTCACCTTCTCCCAGGCGCTTATTTACCTGCGGCAGACACTTCTATGCAGCAGGATCCAATCTCCTGCAACAGGTCTCAGACACTTCTATGCAGCAGGATCCAATCTGCTGCAACAGGCCCGAGCAAAATTTAGTCCCAGTACAACAGCAAATAACCCTTCAAATACAAACAATGTCTGAGTTGAAAACGAAAAGCACACTTACTTTTTGATCTCCTCCTCTACTGCATTCACCCCTTCTGTTTGAGGGTTCTGGAATTTGTTAGTAGCACTTCCAAAGTCACACAGGACATAGTGGCCACGATCATGCAGCAGGATGTTTTCAACCTACGAGCATCACAGACAAATACAGAATCACTCAGACAAAAAAACACATTCCTTTTCTTTAGATGAGCCAGGGTTTTTAGCACCTGAAGACATATCAGACACATCCGACAAACGCGTAACATGACAGCAAAGAAAAATGCATCAAAACTCTGTCACATCTCCTAATGTAGAAGTCAAATTGTGGAAGCATAGTTCTAACACTACCTTCCATCCTACCACCTCTCCCTTCTTTTGACAGAACATCACCTTGCCTCTACTACGACTACCACGTGCTTCAGGACAAGAACTGTGTCCTGGCGTCTTTAGTGCTCAACTTCCCTGAGCTACTATGACCCAGTCTGGCACTTCAATTTGAGACAATACAAGCTGTCCACAGCTTTATAAAGCGCTGTAACTCCTTGCTGTCTAGCAGGGCAGAGAGGAGGCAAATGGACGAGAGCGCACACATTTCTATACTTTATGAAATTATAATACATCTCCAGCTCTTTGTCTGCATTTCACCTGTCACTTGGGGCCTCAATTCAAAACCAACTTCAGTTTATGCTCACTCTTGAGTTGCCTGTTATCAGAATGTGCTGGGTACCCCATACTCCCTAAACAGTGGTTGTATCAGCACAGGTTCCTCCAGGCTGCTGAGAAAACTACCCCTTTCTTTCAAATATTATTTGGTAGCTTGAATCAGACAACTGAAACAAATGCTGAAACAAACACCTGGAATAGCTGAAAAAAAAAAATAAATAAAATCAGCAGACTCACTACCTTTCGCCTAAATACTCACACTTAATCATGCATTAACAAAAATCTAGCTTGCATCCACCTAAGCAAGCTGTCTAAATGTTTCAACGCTGACATAAGATGTGGAAAAACCTGGGTTCAGTTCTTTGCTTTGGAAGAGCATCCCTGTATTCCAGTTCCTCATCTGTACAGTGGCATCAACAGCATATTCTCTCAAGGGAATACACACAATTTTTAATGTATTTATCTTCAATCAATGTCAAATGCTCAGATACGATGGGAGAAAACATACTGCTCATACCATTTAAAAAAAAAAAAATCACCACCTAAGTGTTTGCTAGCAAAATCTTTTGGAAGTAGACTTCCCTATCAAGGATGATCTTTACAAGAAGGAAAGAAAAAGAAGTCATCAGCATTTTAAGCATCAGAAAATGCAGCCAAATTAGAGCAGCTGAGGGGGAAAACGCTGGCTTGAAACCAAGGGTTAAAACAACACCCCTTCCCCCCTCTGCTACCCATCTGCTTTGAATAAAGCATGGCACACAGATGTTCTCCCTAGCAGATCAACACTGACAGCATTATTCCCTGCAAATACTCCTCACACATTTCCAGAAGAGTCCTTCTACGTTATCTAGCTGAGAAGTCTGAGATGACTTGCAGGTAACATCCTGCAAGTTTTGTTAGACATCAGCACTGGACTATCCAGCAACTAGACTTGTTCAGTAACTTCCAGGAAAAAAAAAAAAAAACACCAAACCCACACACCACAAAAAACCAGCAGCAAGACAAAGTAACAAAGTACCTGAATTACTGCTGCTGACTGCCATGCCAGAGAAAACTGTCTTATAAAAAGAGTATGGAGGTGCCTTCTTCCAGTCAAACACTCAGAAGGCTCCAATCCAGTTTTCAGCACTGCTGAACGCTTACAACTCCAGCTGCAGTCTTTGACATGCCCAACACTTAAAAGTCAGATTTAGACCCCAAACAAAAATCTTCACGGGAAATTATGAGTTGCCTTAAGATTTGTTAGTTAGAGAATGTAGTTAGCTTCTGTCTCTACTCTCTGAAATAAATACCTTTCTTTGCTAAAACCAGAAGTCACAGAAACACTGCACAGACATAGATTGGTGAGGGACAAGGAATAAGGCTTTCTTTGACTACCAAAAATCAACACGCATTATCCTCTCATGAGAGCAATGGCTTCTAAGGGTGGTATTTCTAAGTTCAGGTAGCGATTTCAGAGGGATGCACAACCACGGAACCCTTTCTGACTGCTTTCCAGCAACTTCAGGTGTCTTTAGAAGTATTTCAACTTCCCTTCCTCCCCAGCACCATTCACTATTTACTTCTGAAAGCTGGTTTAGTATTTCATAGCAAAGAAAAGAATGAACTGTGACGTCTAAGAGCACTGATTTTGGTGCCGGCATATTCTTAACACAGTTGATACAAGGGTTTACCATTAGAGGACCGAGCAATTTTACATATCACACACTGAACACCGATCCGTCCAAACAAATCCCAGGCAAAGGCTTGTTGGTGGCATCAGGGTAAGACTTGGCATTACAAAGCAGGGTGATGGAAAAAGCAACAGAGAACAGCAGCACAGTGTGACTGTCTTATTACACCACAGAGAAGTGCAACACTGGGAGCACTCCTGCTAAAACGAAAGCAGAAGAAACTAAATCCTTAACATGAGAGCACATCCTTCTGGTTATTTCAGAAAGTGGGGAAAGCAGAAAGATGTTTTGATCAACAGCATCCTCTGGGTTGACTGACATAGTATTTTGCTGTATCCTGCTGTGTGTCTACAAGAAAATTCAGCCACTCATCTGCAAGCCAGTCATCTACTCCTAGAACCAGATGGGTTCAGACTAGCAGAAGCATCACAGGTAGAAGTCAGAGACCGCTCACTACAGAAAGTTCTGAGCCATAGAAATCAGAGTTGGTTTTAAGCTGGTGCTTTGAACAACACGCATCATAGCATGTGAGACTGGAAAGACAAGGTTACATATAAAACAAATTATGCAAACAACTGCCACTAGGTACAGGGTGGTTGTGTAAATCGTTATCATCAGCCCTAGATAGATTTTCCCTTCCCTCCGCCTCACTAAACCTTACTCCTCTGGGATCTGACAGTTACGGTTTCTCAGCACAGATCCCAACTTAGAAGCAGAGACTTCACAGCCCGGGTAACGTAATAGATAGCCATAAGAAGGTTTGATCATTTGTCCTTCACTTTGACCATTTGTTAGGCCTAACCTAAAGGTATAGGAAGTGTTCTTACTCCAGAGAGAGAAGAACAAAAAACGAACTTCTAAGGAAATGCCCTGCAGCAGCAATGGCCTACGAACCCTGAGGGTGAGGAAAAGATCCACGAGAACAAGTAAAGGTAAGTACACAAGGCAAAGCCTACCAGCAGTAGGCTTCCAGTGCCTCTACAGGGGTCCTAGCCAGGTCACAGGTGGCACATGAGGGGCTTCCTAATTTTTAGGAAAAAGCAGCATCAATACACTCCTGTTTTTGTGGCAGTCAAAGTACACGAAACTAAACATCACACCTTGTACAGCACATCATGCAGCAGTAAGCACACAGGGACAGACTGACACAGCACCTGAGAGAGAACCATCAGATCAGGAGGAAAACCTTAATAAACAGAATGATGTTATCTTTTTCACGGCCTTTATTAGCAGAAAGATGTCCACTTTTGCCTATAGGCATGCTGCTTAAAGGTGCTGTTGTCCCACCTATTGGTCACTTCCCACCAGCTGGAGACTCTGCCAACAGAAGGTTGTTCTGCTTCAGGCAAAGCCTGTTGGGTTAACTCAAAAATCACAGCCACAGGCCACTGAAACTAATCCAGCTGTGTTTGTCTGAAAGGCCTTAATTATTCACATGATCCCTTCTGCTGGCAGAGCTCTCTGGGCAGGAATCGCCAGCATTAGAGCAACATCAAAGAGCTGGAAGGCAAAAAAAGCCTCCAGTCCCCATACAGCTGTCTGCAAAGTCAACATCTGCCCGCTCTTCAACAGGGTTACGTTCATCCCAACAAAACACCTACCCGACAGATGCCCTTCCTTACACTCAGAACTTGTACAAAACTTTTCTGGCCCTTAATCCCTCTTGGAATTGCACTGGAATTGCACCTCCCTCTTGGCATTACTAAATTTGAAACCAAATAAAGTCAAAACATATCTAAACCATTCGTTCTGCGTTAGTACTTAGATCCCCAATTGTGACTCGAGCTCCACAGGTCATCATGACAGAAATAATACAATATTCAACTGGGAAACACATCTCAAAGCAGAGAAAAGCCAACTCTCTGACCTTGGGCACAGCTTACCAATCAAGAGCCGGGCCTTGCAAAAACTTTACTGATCTAAGCACACAGTAGCAGGCTGAACATCAGACTCTAACAGCCCATTTCAATTGCAACTCAGTGTAGAAAGTAACGCCTAAGATCAACTCACTAATCCATCACAGATGTCCCAGAATTTATTCACACGCCACACAATGAGTTTATTTATTAAAAACCCCATGGATTCACCAAAAAAGTAACAGCAGGGGTTAATATCAACTGGAGAGGTTCCTGTTCCTAAGCCTCATCCTCTCACCCCAGTTTTCCTTGCCTATATAAACCGCTGCAAGATGCCCACAGACCTTAACAGCTTTAAATCCAGGCCTCAAATTTATAGGACTCTACCCATTTCACTCTAGAAAAACAGATGTCAGACTTGTTTCATAGATTCAAACTGACTGAGCACTGGGGTCACAATCATTTAACACATGCTAAAAGCATATTAAACCCTGAGGATTTTTCCCCCCCTGCACTACCTGGCTGTCGTTGGCACACATGGCATTTTTTGCTCCTATAAAACAATGGCCAGCACCACAAAACAAACATCTGTTGAGGGCTCTGAAAACAGAACCTGACCCACAAGGCACATCTGAATTTCAGATGTACACAGGAGCCTCCTTCTTGGCTGAATATATTATTCAGGCATTTTTATGAGCTAGTTGAGAGGAAAGGGAACATCTTTTTGTTTGGTTGGTTATAGGCATGGGATTTTTCAAAAGCTTTCCCCACTGGTCCAGCTCTGTTCCCAGCTAAGCACACAGAGTTTTACAGTGCACTTTCACAGTCAACAGAGTTAGAGGTCAGTTTCAAAAGCTTCTAAACAACTCCTGCCCCAAGGCCAACATCTCTGGAGGGATCCTTTTAATGTGGGTCCAGGAAACAAATTTATAGCATGCTCTTTGTGAACTACCTTAAAACATCAATAGTGTTTCAAGTGGTAGAAAGTCATCGTGAATAATTCATCAGATTAATTCTGTTTTGCACTGATGTGCCAGAATGTTTCACAAACATTTGTGTTTTTTAAGTAGATCTATAGATGGTAAACATATGGTAAGCAGCAATGAGAGGCTCATTTCTTTTTTTATCTTCCGATAGAGAGAGGTATTTATGCCCACTTTTCCTCATTACTAACAACAGAAGCACAGTACTGGTATTCAAAGCCTGTTTGCCATGGCGTAGGCAGCAAACAGACACGTTAAGGAGGATGCACACTCCCTGCTGTATTAGTGGAGTCCACAACTCACCTTCAAATCCCTGTGGATTATTGGCGTTTTACACTGATGCAACCTGGCTACGGCTTCGCATGTGTCACAGAAGATCTGCAGGACCTCATTCTCTGTGAACCCTGTCTGCAGGCGTTGGTTCATGAGGTTCACCACCTGACCTCCTGAGGAGAGACAAACATGGAGAATCAGAGCAAGTAGGCAAAATGAGGTCTGGCCTGGTTTAAGCCCCAGTCCTACTGGACATAACTTGTCTTAGTCTGCTCCCCATCAAACTGTGGCTGTACAGTCAGCACACAAGAAGTTCATGAGTTCAAATTCAAAATTCACACCAAGCCTTCCCCAGAGGCTTTTTGCAATACACTTACTCATCGTGTTTCATTCGCATTTCCTCATCTAAATCCCAGGGGGGTTGCGTATCTGCCGGCAGGCGTTACATCTCATCGTGGCTTTGAACAATGCTTCAAGAGCAGCAAGCTAGCTTCACCTGGCTGCGTTAATGCCCAAATGTAACTCTAAGCTGCATCTTTTTCTTTCTTCTTTAAAATAAGACTTTTTTTGTCAGACTAGAGGAATAAAAGACTGAATCTGGGGCACCCACAGTCCACAAAATAGTTTGCCACGTGTAAGCAAGAGAAGGGAGAAAGGGAGACACTCAAAAAAACCATACACTACTAAGTGGCTTGGCTAAAGTCATATACTGGCAAAAAAAATTAAAAAAAATAAATCCATCTGTAACAATGGAAACTCCAGACAAATACTTTGTAAGTTTTCATGAATGAGTCCTGAATTTGCCTCAACTTTGAGGTTTTGTTGCTGTCAAAGCCTTTCCAAAACAATTCACACAGAGGTTGTTCTCCCCTCAAAACACCCTATATACAGAGAAAAAACTCCTTTCTGAACCTTTGGCAAGGCAAAATTGTATCATCTCACATCACAAACGTCGGAAAACTTTACTTTCCTGCTACAAAAGAGAAGGTCAGCTTAATAAATAGTACAGCTGTGAACATTTTGCACTCAAAGTGAGTGCAGTTCTGCACACACAGACACACTGATTTGGTTTGGAAACTCTTGACACAAAAAGGAAAGTAACAAGGGAAAGTCCAACATATAACAGCAATTCCTGTGCTTCACTCTGAATGTTGGAGACAGAGGCAGGCGTGTGCTGAGCGGAGCATCTGGCAAAAGCAACTCACATGAGAAATACCACCTTGCAGCTTTCCTCCTTTCAGATGGAAGGAAGCACCTTAGGGAGACTGATTTTACTTCATCAGCCCAAAATTTGGCACAGAGGGGAGGCTAACGCAGCTGGAGGGCGTGCATTCTGAATTGCTATGGTTTGCATTTCCCTGCACAGTGGGGTCTGCAACATGGAGTTGAGTATGGATTTACTAGCACTGCCAGGCCTATTTCTTACAACACTCCTTGTGATATTTAGGTTTAAGCTTACAGAGAGCTTACATAATGATTCCTTCAGCAAGACTACATGTAAGGTTCTTCCTTTTACCAGCAAGCAAACCCAATGCAAGTTAGTCAAGATTCCTGCATCAAAATGAAGCAGCAGAGACGGCACAGCAGAACAAAAAGCTGTACCGTACACGTTTAAAGGCATTTTAGCACCTAGTTGTTCTTGGTACAATGCACCTGGCTTCAGTTAAAAGCTCAAAAGTCCCAAGAATACTTCTTTCCATCAGCTGCCACCATCCAAAACAGCCACAGACTTCTGAAGTCACCTGGCCAAAACATTATTTTTGCTTAATGCTATTCCTGTGAGAGGCAATTGAGCACAGCACATGTGTCATTTTCCAAACACCGCATCCTAGCCACAAGAGATCAAAGCTTTGGGACAGTTGGAAAAGACTGGAAAAGCCTGTGTGCCTAGAGACAGCCAAGTAAAAAGGTCAGAAGTAAAAGGAATACTTTTTGGCTTCACATCATCCATGTCATGCTTCTTCCAGAACAATCCTAAGCCAGGCTGAAGTGGAAAAAAGCTTTCAATATGACATAAAGTGAAGAAGAATTTCACTCCACAGCCTGGCAGCTTTAGAAGAGCCACTTCTTGTGTGGACCAGCCTACGGAAAACAGTAATATATATTTAAGGGTTCTCTTTCACAACCGAAAGGATCTAGGACCACCCTGGGCAGGGGTAAAGGTGGTACAAATCCCATTAACAGAGTCAACATTGCCTCACATGTCATCCACTTCTCCACACCTAGTTTTGGCACTGATTTGTTCAGAACAGTTCCTTGGCAGCCAAGGAAGGGCCAGGCCTAGGAACAGGCTTGGTTTTTTTAAAGGAAGATGTTCTGCAAGTTTCCTGTAAGCAGAGAAAAAGGACAAATCTACCAATGAACAATACGTTGGGCCCACACTCACCTCGACAGAAGTCCATTAGTATCAGCACTTCCCACACGTCACCGCTGCTTACTGAGTTTATACTGGAATCAATGTATCCGACAATGTTCTTATGGCCAGATAGATCCCGCTGTAAGATAAATAAATTCAAAGCATAAACCAGCCACACAGAGTGAGCAACATTTTAATCTGGTTCCTCCACACTACACAGCTTCCCCAGCTCTTCTCCTGTACAGGCGCAAGCTTCTGTCACTTTGGATTACTCGTCACACAAATCTTGAACAAGCTTGAGGTCTGTCTCTACCTGTTTTCCTTCCAGGAGGATTTGAGACAAACAGCAGACAAACAGCCAACCTGATGAACTCACTTGTTCAGGGAACAGTCCAGATCTTTGCATGTTCTCTTAGATGGCCCAGGCCGAGCCACCTGGAGCTGCTCCTCCTTTACACAGAGGGGAGAACAAGGCAGATGTTTTGTGGTGGCCATGCACAGCACATGCTGTGCTTACTGTTCTCATCTGCTTCCACTCTTCTGCTAGCAAAGAGTATCTCAAATCTTTGCATGCTCAAAAAAACCCACTAAGGTAATAAAATAAATTTTAAATCTTGCTTTTAGAAGTACTTTATTTTAAGTAACTCAATGGATTAAAGCACAAGTTCCCATATCAATCATTTATCCATGACACACGTAAACCTGCAGGAAAAAGTCATTTCTTTGTGACTGCCAGCTTCACACACACCCCCAGGTGTGATAGCCAGTCCAGTTCAATGTTCAGCTTCACCACTAAAAGAAATCAAGATTCTGCTGTCCACATTCTGCTGTAATGCTGTAGGGTCGCAAAAAGTGCAGTTAAGTTGAAAATAATTCTTTATTGCACTAAAGCCAGGAAAGAAGAAAATATTTCCTTTTAGTGATGTACTGGTTCTCCAGGACAAAGATCAGTGCTTATGAAAATTCAGTACAGGAGCAAGTGGACCTGCCAAGTAAGAAGGATACCTCTCACCCTCACTTTCCAGGTTAGCCACACATTTCAAAGAGGCACCAAAGACATGGAGACAATCGAAAGCACTGGCAAGTAAAATTCAAGCAAACAAGCTTCGTGAGCACTGCTAAAACCTTTGACGTAAGATCTAATCTCAAATTTTCCCAGGCAGCATTAGCTACAGTGATGACAAATCATGCCCAAAAGCTTCACTGCACTATCACACAAACTCCAGAAGTTAACTTTAAAGGTATTAACCTAATTAAAAGCTACTGCAAAAAACAAACTCAGAATTGCTACAGGTAAGAACTTCTGATATGAAGATCATCTACCCCAAACCTATACCTCATATTGTAAATTAGCAGTATGAGGATTTTATATTTCCTTCCACACCTCACAGTTGCTCTAAATGTTCATCAGTATCTTTGAATACAACTTCGAAAGTGTCGCTTCCCATGTTTACCAGACTCCAAACAAGACCAGACAAATCTATTCGGATCATTTCAATTTTTTCTTTGTTTAGACACTAAGTTTAAACCAGCTATTAAAAAGAGCTATCCTATCATATAACTCCTTGTATCCAATAATCTAGAGAAATATCCCAGTCCTTGTTATAAACACTTCCCTGTTTCAAAAGCCCAGGCAGTAACTACCCCACAAATACTGTTTTTAATCTGTCAGCCTCACCAATACAGAGATAGCCCAAAAGATCATCCCAACCCAAAAGATTCGAAGCTGTTGTGATATAAATTCTTCTCAGGATGGAGGTCTTCCATTCATGCACTGATTTGAGTTGGTTACATCAGAATCATCAGACTTTCTGATGAAGTCTAAAGAGGCTGAAGACTTTAGCCCTGAAGAACGTTAGACTTTGCAATCTAACATCCCCAACCAGCTCTTCCCTTTACCATTATGTCATGGGGTTGACATAGGAGCTTTTCCCTCCCCTCATTTTCCTGATATTTTCTCTGCTATTTGAGCCCCTGTGTTTTTCTTGTCCACTGAAACCATTTACGCTGTAAATAACTGAACACAAGATTTGCACATAGTCACTTAACTCCAGGAGTTAGGTCTTTCCAAAAGACAGACAGTTTTGCTTAGAAAACGCACAATTTGCCACATGATGCTATACAGATCACAGGCAGAAGGTGGCCAGGATCTCACACCATTCCCCTCCCAGTCTGGAGCCCCCAATACAAAGTGGTGACTTACCATAATTTGGATTTCTCTTTTGCAGACTTGCAAGTCGTACTCGTTATTGACATACATCCGCTTCAGGGCACATTTCATCCCATTGTTAGTCCTCACAAGAAACACTATCGCAAATCCACCTGCGGAAGACACAAAATCATCCTATTCATTAACAAAGAAACCTCTTGGTCCTCGCTTCCAACCCTGCCCCTGCCTCCATCTGCCTTAAGAGTACAGTCAGAAGAGGGAGGGCACTGAGCAGCTACCAACATAGCCACAGTGGGAGTGCCTCTTACGTGTGCTTAGCTCCAGAGCTTCCAACTCTGCCTAGACAGTTATTTCTGAGAACTAAAAGGAATCCAGAGGGGCAAATCGTCAATTAACAGAAGCAAAGTTAACATTTAACATCTCTGTAAAAACAAGAAGATACACTGGTTACTTGTCCTGCCAGACAGTCCTTCATTGCTCCATTAATTTCCATTATGAAGAAGAAAGCTGAAGTATAAACAGCAACATTGCCTTGGACAGAAAATCAGAGCTACAGATCATCCACTGAATTACCAAAGGCCTAAACTTAAAAGGCTTCCCAACTTCTGAAGCATCTAAGTTACATTACAAAGCCGATTTGTGTGAGAAGCAGAAGAAACCCATCTCCCACACATGGTTTAATGTTAGTGCTTTTAAAAAAGGACAGAAGAACATGGAGGGGAAAAAACAAAACAAACGCCACAATTCATTTTGTGGTCTTTGCTATTAGTGAAGTCCAGACTCACAGGACACACTTGACTTGTTTAGGATGAAAGCCTTTCATCTCCATTAGCAATACATCAAAATATACGGGTTTTACATTTGTAGTCCTGGACAGAAATAGGAAGCTGATTGCGGATGGAGGTACATAGGCATCAAAGTTTCACACCTGACTCCCAGAGATCAGAATGAATCAGAACAAAGAGTCACACATATCCAAGTAGCCAAGAAGCACTGCACAACGGTAAAAAGGGAAGCACGATGACATTGTCGATGCCACAGCCTAACAGCACTTCATTTGCTCTCCATTACCTTACGTTACAGCACATATTTCTTTTATGCTTAAGGACTTCTAAAGAATCACCTCGATAGTGAGTTATGATTCAGTGCTGCTGTAGCCTTCAGAAGCCCCACTACGCCAAGAGCTGTAGTTACACACTGTAAAAAGCTAGTCACATCCGAAAGAATTCTGATTTTAAAAGTCTGAGCCCTTTGGTGAATCCCATTCTTTACAAGCTGCCACAAACCATCAAATCAACAATACATAGTTACCTTTGACATGTTTGGACATAATTATTACTAATGGTTATTTAGCATTTAAATTAGTTCCTCCCCATTATGTAAAATGTGACAAGCAAGCCAGCCACATTTGGGCAAAATTTAGTGTTAAAATAGGTCGCATTTGGCAACTCCAGTCTTGCAACAACTGGTGCTTACAAGCTGTTAACAAATCAAACACCACAGCCAAAAGGCCCACTGAAAATTTTACTAAGAAAGAAAAAGAGTAAGTTATCAGACAAAACTCTTGTGTTCAAAGCATAACCCTCCCCATTTGTTATCCAACAGTTTTTATGGCACCCATTACAGCCCATCTTCCAAAACAACCACGGAAGTTACACATGCAAATAACATACCTGTCAGCACCAGAGCTGTTCAACAAAAATCTCTCTTAGCATGCAAAAACCTTAGTTTTACACATCATAGTTTGCCATAGGAACTAGATCAGATTTTCCAAGGAAGCCTCATTGACTTTTAGGAGCAGAATTCACTGGTAGCAGCCCTAGAGAAGCTGGAAAAAGATGCAACAGAAAGGAAAAAAACCCCAAGTGTCAAGACTTCAATTAAAGGTCTTAAAAAACTATAACCAGGCTGCAAAAGGGATATTCAAATTCAGAAAAATGGGACATGGGCCTGGGATACAGCAAGCCATGCAGATGCTGCTCACTCCTGCCAGAGAGGCTTTTAAAACCCTTGTAGTTCTGGAGGGCCTAATTTCTTCATAGTGCTCAAATTCGGACACAAAAATAACCCCGACTCTCTCCCTTAAGCTGCTTCAAGTTGAGGATCTCAAATTACAAGCCATTTTTAAGAACTCCTAAACCCACAGCAGTAGCCTTATTGTTCTACCCTAGCCATATTTGTCTCATTTCTGGGGAACAGATCTGCACATCCCGCTGCGCTCTCTTTAGCCCAAAGGATGTCTACATTGAAAAAAGCAAGACAGCACTCTACTGACTTTGCCTCCCTCTTATAATCCACAATGGAGTCAGCAAGAAATAAAGGACCCATAACCAGCACAACTTCCCCAATCCCTACTTTCTTAACACATTATGCATTTTTAAAATCATTGGAGAGATCAGGTTTGGACTTATTTTTTTAATTTCTGTACAATATTTCCGTGGACCACAGACAAAATCTACAGAAAACATTAAATAACAAAAATACTTTTGTTTTTCTTTATTACAGAGTCTCAGTCACCATCAAAGCTTTTTGAGAATCACAAAGCTACCTTCCCCCTCCTCAAATGAGAAAGTCAGAAGTTGGCCACCAGAAGCCTCCTCTCCTCTCCTGTCCAGGGGTTCAGTTCCCCTCGTTAGGCCCAGAGGCCAGCAGGACACTGTATCTCTGTTTACAGGGCTATGCTCAGCAGAAAGAAACATGAGCTGAGCAGCAAAAATAGATCAAACTTTAAAAAAAAAAGCAGATCCACCAAATTCAAGGACCTCCTCCTTCTAAAACTTTGCCTCAGCTGAGATGAAACTGGTACCTCTTCAGACCAACTGCTAATGTCTCATTAGCAAAGCTCCGGGCGAGGTACCTTTCCTCTAGTCTGGATCCTCTGCAAGTTAACAAAGTCACTCCCAGAGCACCCTCGCTAGACTATGTACATCAGGCCATTTTGTTTACAAGCAACCAGGGCCAACTGGCAAAGAAAACTACAGCCTACGCAACGGAGAACACAGCTAAACCATCCCGAGAGTTCAAAGGAAAGAGATATTCAGAAACTAAAAAAATAAATAAATAAAAATTAAATAAATTAATGCTTCCTGATACAGAACTGCAACATCAACACATAGGGACCTGACAGAAACAGAGCCCAGAGCATTTTCCAATGGAGCAGCGAGAAACAAATACATCAGGTGGAGCCACATCCAAGGAAGCGGAACCCTGCAACACGTGCGGAGCTGTCACAGTACTTATCCAAGTCATAGGTAAATTACATCCTCGTAACCTTCTCTTCCTTACCTTTAACTCCTGCAAACTTCTGCTGACAACACCACACATGGAAGCTGTGCAAAATCATTTAACTTATTTTGCCTGCAAATACACCTACCAATTTGGTTACTTTATCATTGAACTCCCACTGACTGCAGATTAAAGCATGACAATTTTGCTACTAGTAAAAGCAGCATGCTTCTCTCCAGAGAAAACAAATACTGATTTGATCAGGGTACATACTGCAATTTTTACACGGCAATCTAGAGTAAGCAACTTTGCCATCAGAGAAGCAAAATTTGATGATCCACATCCATTTGAGAGAAGGTGCGAAGTTTTCCTTTCTAAACAACTAAATATGTCATCTGGTCTGATTGCCTCAGTTAAAAGAGACCACAATATTCCTTTCAAACTACAGTTTTGACCGTACTTAGGATTTAGTCCAGAAAGGCACAACATAATCAAGAATGTCTAACTTCCCTCAGGTGGTCATTCCACATTTAAGTCAGAAGAGGTGTGAAAAATACCACCCTAATTTGAATGTCATAAATTTCATTTAATTTTAATTTCTCTGCATTAATTACACCTTCCACAGCTAATTGGCTTCAGCACTCCCCGTTTTGCATGCAGAGAACAGGACTGAGAAACTCAGTAAAACAGCAGGCGGATGAGGGAAGCAGAAATGGATAGAGAAAGAGCACAAAGAACAGCAGCTTCGTGCCATGCTCCTCACATACAAATGGCTCTAGAAATACAAGATCAAAGTCCATTAGCAGGACACCCGGGTCAATTTTAAGAATACCAAGAACTTACACCTGCAAACTGGCTTCCAAAGGAAGCAGCAGGTGCACAGAGAAATCAGGCCATCAGCTTTCACACATCACACTATATTTACAGAAGTGGGGCTTGATCTCATCCATGCACCAGGGCAAATCAGAGCTACAACAGGAATTCTGCTCCTTCCAGGAGTGTTTCAGGCTGTAGGTCTTTCCAGGCCAAGGTCAAAGCTATAGGTATATCTGTTTACAGGTTTCTCATGCAACAACCGCTGTATATCTGAACATCTGGAAACGGTAGGGCTGCCTTTAGTGGTTTGTACTTAGACTTAGAGAGATTTCCTTTACAGTTTCTTGTGCACAAGAGATGATCTTGGAGCTTTGGTCTATCCTTCACCACCCAAGTCCCTCGCATGTTTATTACTGCCTGCTTGTGAACTGCACACCCTGTCAAAGAAAATGGCACTCACCTGAAACTGTTGCATTGCAAAAAAGGTTAACAGTAACACCAGATCATAATTTTAGGGTTAGGGGTTAAGGTGCATAAGTAGGTTACTAGCTGATACACTTAGAAGCACTTGAAACCTTTTTATTGGCAACTGTGGCCTATACTTCAGATTCATGCTAAAAGAAAGAGCAGTTCCAGAGGGACCTGTACTCCTACAGCTACCTCAAAAGCAGCAACTTTGCTGGTAAACAGGAGACAGAACGAAAATGTCGTTCACGTTTTTCAGCAAGGTATGACAGAGAAGAGGGGAAGGAGGACCCAATAGATGGCTGAAATTTTCACTTGGCAGCATTAGACAGCGCAGAACAGCGATGCTGTTCAGCACAGCCCAGGAAGGGACAAAGCTATCGAGCACCTGGACTGCAGCCAACACTGCCTAATGAAGACTTTCTAACAGATTTAAGAGTTTTCCTTCACCTACCATGCAGGACTACAGCAGAAGAGGGACCTGATCGCAGAAGCAGATGGGTGTCTTCTATGGGTTGCAGCGGTAAGCACCAGCACTGCCCAGCTCTCGCTGTCTGCCTGGTCACCGCTGCACTGAACAAGCAGGTTTTGCTTAGACAAGTCACCCAGTACTCATCTGAACTCTGATGGTTTTTTCACAGCATCA